ACGCGGCAAAAGTATACATCAGTAAAAAGGAAGGACTGTAGGAAAAGGGGGAATCAGCCATGAATACCTAAGGAAATACGGGAGGCGATCAAATTGAAAGAAAAGCATACAAAGTGGCAAGGACCAGTCAGAAACTAGAAGATTGGGAAAACTTTAAATGTCAACAGAAAGCCACAAAAGAAGCTATAAAGAAAAGTAAGATAGATTATGAGAGTAAACCAGCTCAGAATATAAAGACAGAAAGCAAATGTTTCTATAAATAAATAAAAGAAAAAAGAATGGCTAAGGTAAATGTTGGTCCTTTAGAGGACGAGAAGGGGGATTTAATAATGGGAAATAAGGAAATAGCCAAGGCATTGAACAGGTATTTTGTGTCGGTCTTCACAGTGGAGGACACGAATAACATGCCAGTAATTGATGACAAAGAGACTGAGGTAGGTGAGGACCCAGGTACGATCATTGTCACCAAAGAGGAAGTGTTGGGTAAGCTAATGGAGGCAAAGGTAGACAAGTCTCTTGGCCCTGATGAAATGCATCCCAGGGCACTAAAACAGTAACAGCGAATGTACTTGTGGTAATTTTCTAAAATTCGCTGGACTCTGGGGCAGTTCCAGAAGATTGGAAAACAGCAAATGTGATGCCACTGTTTAAAAGAGGAGGTAGACAAAAGATGGGGAATTATAGGCTGGTTAGCTTAACGTCTGTAGTGGGGAAAATGCTTGAATCTATCATCAAGGAAGAAATAGCAAGACATCCAGATAGAAATTGTCCCATTGGGCAAACACAGCATGGGTTCATGAAAGGCAGCTCATGCTTAAATAATTTACTGGAATTCGATGAAGACGTTACGAGCGCAGTGGACAATGGGGACCCAGTAGATGTGGTGTATCTGGATTTCCAAGAGGCATTTGACAAGGTGCTGCACAAAAGACTGCTGCATAAGAAAAAGGTGCACGGCGTTACAGGCAATGTATTAGCATGGATAGAGGATTGGTTAACTAATAGGAAGCAAAGAGTGGAGATAAATGAGTACTTTTCTGGTTGGCAATCAGTGACTAGAGGTGTGCCTCTGGGATCAGTGCTGGGACTGCAATTGTTTACAATTCACATCGATGATTTTGAGTTCGGGACCACGTATAGTGTGTCAAAGTTTGCAGATGAAGCTCAGATGAGTGGTAGAGCAAAGTATGCAGAGGGCTACAGATAGTTAAAGTGAATGGGCAAAGGTCTGGCAGATGGAGTACAATGTTGATAAATATGAAGTCATCCATTTTGGTAGGAATAACAGTAAAAAGGACAATTATTTGAATGGTAAAAAATTGCAGCACGCTGCTGTGCAGAGTGACCTGGATGTTCTTGTGCAGAAATCACAGAAGGTTAGTTTGCAGATACAACAGGTAATTAAAAAGGCAAATAGAATTTTGTCCTTCATTGCTGGAGGGATTAAGTTTAAAAGCAGGGAGGTTATGCTACAGCTGTATAGGGTGCTGGTGAGGCCATACTTAGAATACTGCTTGTCGTATTGGTCTCCTTTATTTGAGAAATGATGTACTGGCACTGGAGGGGGTGCAGAGGACATACACTAGGTTGATTCTGGAGTCAAGAGTGTTGACTTATGATGAGAAACTGAGTAGACTGAGATTATATTCATTGGAATTTAGAAGAATGAGGGAGGATCTTATAGAAATATATAAAATTATGAAGGGAATAGATAAAATAGAAGCGGGGAGGATGTTTCCACTGGCAGCTGAAACTAGAACAAGAGGACATAGCCTCAAAATTAGGAGGAAGAGATTTAGGACTGAGTTGAGCAGGAACCTCTTCATCCAAAGGATTGTGAATCTGTACAATTCCTGCCAAATGAAGTAGTTGAGGCTTCCTCATTGAATGTTTTTAAAGCTAAGACGGATAATTTTTTGAACAGTAACGGAATTAAGGGTTATGCTGAGAGGGTGGGTAAGTGGAGCTGAGCGGCCAGGTGGCCTACACCTGCTCCTATTTCTTATGTTTTTATGTAACACGCTGAGATAGCCATTTGTCTAACCCTTGACTTACTTCATTTGGCCATTGACAGCTGTACCTTCAGTTACCAAGGTCCTAAGCTCAATGAAACTGATAGAATGCATGAGAGGATTGACAGGGTGGATGCAGGTAAGATGTTTCCCAAATGGGGAGCCTAGAACCAAGGGAGGACAACTTAACAACAAAGGGGATGCCACTTAGATCCAGGCTGAGAAATACTTTTACTCAAGAGGGTTGTGGAAGTTCAGCCTTTGAGTATGTTGAAAGGGGGAGATTGATAGATTTCCAGTTACTATTGGCATAAAGGATTATGGGGATGGGGTGGGTAAATGGCATTGAAGTCATCAATCACCTATGAACACAGGGGCTGAATGGCCTAATCCTGTTCTCATGTTCCTTCCTTGGCTATGGAATCGGCTACACACCCAACTCCACCTCTCCACCTGTGTCTCTCTTTCATTCATTAAGGAAGTGGGGATAATTTATTGAGGCTGTGATTAATGAGCTTCATCCAGAGAAGACTTCTGAAGAAGGCCCCGACCCGAAACATCAACATTCCTGCTCCTCTGATGCTGCCTGACCTGCTGTGTTCCTCCAGCTCCACACTGTGTTGTCTCTTCATCCAGAGAAGCTGCGATAATTATGGAACTCATTCATTTTAAGACACAATCTAAACATCACCCCTTGACATTCAATGATGTTTCTATCACTGAATCTCCCATTGTCAACATCCTGGGGTTTACCAATGACCAGAAACTCAACTGAACATGCCACATCAACACTGTGACTGCAATAGCAGGCCAGAGACTGGGTAAATTGTGGCGAGTAACTCACCTCCTGACTCTCCAAACCCGGACCATCATCTACAAAGGCACAAGTCTTCAGTATTATTGTAAGGATGTAGTCAGGGCCCATAGCCTTTGCAGTATCCATGTGCCTTAAACCATTTCTTGATATCATACTAGTGAGTGAGTGAGTGGTGAGAGACCTATATGCATGCATTTGCCTGTCATCTCGCCTCGTATATATGCAGTTTCCCATTCTCCCAACTGGATAGAAACTATACAGTGACAATTCCCAGCACGAAATTCAGAGCAGTAAGCATAAGACCATAACATGTTGGAGCAGAAGTAGGCCATTCAGCCCACTGGGTCTGTTCCACCATCCAGTGAGATCATGGTTGATCTGATAATCCTCAATTCCACTTTCATGATTTCCCCTTAACTCTTGATTCCCTTATTGATTAAAAATCTGTCTGCCTCAGCCTTGAACAGATTTAATGGCTGACCCTCAACAGCCTTCCGTGGTAAAGTGTTCTGCAGATTCACAACCCTCAGAGAAGACGTTTCTCCTCACCTCTGAAATTTTAACAAAATCTGAGGCTTTTTAGCACGTGTGGACAGAACTCTGGGGAAACCTACAACTGCTTATATTTTTATAGCTCCTTTAGCATCTTAAACTGTCCAAAGGCACTTTACAGTAACACTATCGAAGCTTGACACCAAGCTGAAGAAGGGTCTAGGCCCGAAACGTCAGCCTTCCTGCTCCTCTGATGCTGCTTGGCCTGCTGTGTTCATCCAGCTCTACACCGTGTTACCTAAGGTGATATTGCGTCTGATGATCGACATGAGAGGTTCTAAAGAATGTCGCAAGGAGGCCATTGACAAGAAACTCAAATGTACGTGCCACATAAACACAATGGTTACAACAGCAGGTCAAAGGCTAGGAATGCTGCAGTGAGGAACTCACCTCCTGCCTCCCCAAAACATGTGCATCATCTACGAGGCACAAGTCAGGAGTGTGATGGAATACTCCCCATTTGTCTGGATGGGTGCAGCCCCAACAACACTGAAGAAGTTTGATGCCATCCAGGATAAAGCAGCCCGCTTGATTGGCACCACATGCACAAGCATCTACTCCCTCCACACAGGTGTTCAGCAGCAGCAGTGTGTAACTATGTATAAGATGCACGGCAGAAATTCACCCAAGATCCTCAGACAGCACCCTCCAAACCCATGACCACTTTCATCTAGAAGTACAAGGGCAGCAGGTATATAGGAACATCACCACCTGCAAGTTCCCCTCCACTTCACTCACCATCCTGACTTGGAAATATATTGCTGTTCCTTCAGTGTCACTAGGTCAAAATCCAGGAACTCCTTCCACCCTAGGTGGCACAGTGGTTAGCATTGTTGCCTCACAGCACTAGGGATCCGGATTCGATTCCAGCCTCGGGTGACTATCTGTGTGGAGTTTGCACATTCTCCCCATGTCTGTGCGGGTTTCCTCCCACAGCCCAAAGATATACAGGTTAGAAGGATTGGCCATGCTAAATTGCCCATGGTGTCTGTAGGGGGTGGGTCTGGGTGGGATGCTCTTCAGAGGGTCGGTGTGGGCTTGATGGGCCAAATGGCCTGTTTCCACACTGTGGGGATTCTTTGATTGTTGGTCTACCTGCAGCATTTGGACTGTAATGGTTCAAAGAGGCAGCTCACCAACACCTTCTGAAGGGCACCTACGGACAGGCCACAAAAATGCTGACCTAGCCAGTGACGCCCACGTCTCACAGGTGAATAAAAAAACAAAGGCTGGGAAACGGGACTTATTGTTATGAATGGAGGGAAGCTCTGCATTGCTAATCTCACAGGATTTTCGCAACAATGCCCACGTTGCTCATGCTAAGATTCTGTTCACGGAGTTTAATGTTTAAACTTTCTGGGCAGCTTCCACATAGTGAGCGCACTGGGAATTCTGAGGGGTTCCAACAGGATTCTTGTATGATACCTGGTATGACACCTATTCCAAACTACCTGGAGGTCTGGACCAGTGTACTGAAACAAGTCTCAAAACTGGTCAGTGCAGACGAGAGAGACTCAGTTTTCCTAAAGAAAGTCGCAAAGCCACTGTGCTTAAAGATGCTACATTTCACTCTTTACAAAAGGAACCGTTCTTCCCAACATTAAACACGACCGTGCTTGTTTACCCTCTTTGTTGTCTTTACTAGTGGTTTGACTTGAAACAGTTGTGCAAGAACATTCAACTAAACTAACAGCAAATGAAATGGTCGTACGAGGATGTTAATTTTTGACTTGATTCGCGACAAGATGGATCATTCTCTGTGGATCCTTTTCAGTAAGTCGCTCTACACAGATTCTTTGATGAGTGCAGCCAACCTCTGAAAACCCTGCAAGGGATAAGAAAAATGCACATGAGAATCCCTCATTCTGTCATTTTACATCATTATTTTTATGGGACGACAGTGCCTCCTCCAGAGCCCCACTTTTATACACTAGGCGAAGGAGAGCCCCTTCCCCTCCCCCTTTTCTGATGAAGGGTCTAGGCCCGAAACGTCAGCCTCTCTGCTCCTATGATGCTGCTTGGCCTGCTGTGTTCATCCAGCCCTGCACCTTGTTGTCTCGGATTCTCCAGCATCTGCAGTTCCTACTATCTCTGATTCAATTTTAACCCCACTGCGAAGCCTCTTCTAAGGATGCCTAGCCTGAAGAAGTTACCCTCCTCCCTCCGGACAAACCTCAAGGGATCTCTCTCCCACTGCAACTCTCTCGTAATCTCTTCGGCCCTGAAACTGCTCGACCACGTCCTGAAGCAAACCAGGTACTCACCTTTGTCCCCCTCCACCCACAGATCAACGAATACCGCTCATGCTTGGACATAGAGCAGTTTTTCCGCCGCCTCCGCCTCTCCACCTATCCTCTTCTCTATCCCTCTTCTATCCGGCTACCACTCTCTCCCTATTTATTTCAGAACCCCCTTCCCCTCCCCCTTTTCTGATGAAGGGTCTAGGCCCGAAACGTCAGCCTCTCTGCTCCTATGATGCTGCTTGGCCTGCTGTGTTCATCCAGCCCTGCACCTTGTTGTCTGTGAAGGAGAGAGGCTGCTTTGTTTCACTACATCACTTCAGAAATTGTACAGTACAGAAACAGTTTTGGCAGCATCGATGGAGTGAAAGTAGAGTTCATGTTTCGGAACTTCAGATGTTCTGAAGAAGGGTCACTGGACCTGAAACGTTAACTTTGCCTTCTCTCCCCATAGTTGCCACCAGGCCTGCTGAGATTCTCCAGCAATGTCTATTTCTGTTTCAGGTGTCCAGCATGGGCAGTTCTTTGTTTTATTCAGCACAAAAACAGGCCATTCAACTGTTTACTCCAAATAAGTCAACAGCCGAAAGTCCAAATCCCGTTTGAGACTCCTACAGAGTCAAGGTAAGTGTGTCAGATAAATGGGTGAGGGAGTAAGTTAGCAGGTGGGTGAGGAGTGGTGTTGCAAGTACATGAGTAGTAGGGTACCACGTGTGTGAGGATGCAGAGTACCAGGTGGGTGAGGAAGCAGAGTGCTAGGGGGGTGAGGGGGAAGGGTGCCAGGTGGGTGAGGAGGCAGAGTGCCAGGTGGGTGAGGGGGAAG